CTTTGCGGCTCCTGCGGGGCGAGCACAATGCCCCTCACAAAGCTCTTCTCCAGAGCACCACACATGCTTCTTGCAGGCTTCGACGGAGACCACCACCAAGCCATCTAGGAGGTAGCAACCCCCAAGAGTAACAAGTACCACCGGCTTGCAACTCAATCACCTAGTGCCACTCGATGCAACCTCACGATGCAATCGCACTAGAATCGCTCACACATACAATCAGATGATCACTATCAAGTATGTGTGAGATGGAGGGCTCCCAAGCACTACCACACAAGCCACCCAGGCTCTAGTGTGCTCAGCTACCGGCCCAAGGCCGACCATGGCTTCTATTTATAACCCCACGAACAAATAGAGCCGTTACCCCTTCACTGGGCAAAAGTCAGGACGACCGGACGCTCTGGTCCGATCGACCGGACGCTGGACCTCAGCGTCCGGTCACGCGATACTCGCCACGTGCCCCCTCCTTCAAACGCTGTTCATCCGATCTCAACGGTCATCTGACGACCGGACGCAGCAGCTTCAACTGACCGGACGCTGAGCCTCCAGCGCCCGGTCGTTTCCAGTAAGGTTCCAGAAACGACATTTCACGACCGGACGCGTCCGGTTGATCGCGATCGGACGCATCACCAGCGTCCGGTCACTCTCTAGCTTCTACTCTGCCTGTGTCACCATACGTCAGCTCTGACCAGATGCACCCTGCCAGCGTCCGGTCACTTACAGCACCAGCGTCCGGTCGAAGACTGACGCATGCACGCTCTCTGCTGCCACTGACCAGACACAGGACCCCAGCGTCCGATCACCACGTGACCAGCGTCCGGTGCACTCTGTGAAACCCTGTCATTTCTGTATAGGGCGCCGGTGGAGTTTCTAACCCTTCTCGCCTCTGTTTCATCGCCGAGTTGATCCACATCAACTCCAACTTCATCTCCTTTATAAATGTGCCAACACCACCAAGTGTAGACCATCATGTGTATGTGTGTTAGCATTTTCACAATTATTTTCCAAAGGATTAGCCACTCAACTTGCCACGCCACTCAATCCTAGCGACGATGCAAAGTTAGATCACTCGAGTGGCACTAGATGATCGATATGCAAACACGTTTGCCCCTCTTGATAGTACGGCCATCTATCCTAAACCCGGTCATCAACTTCTCAACATACCTATGACCGGTGAAATGAAATGCCCTAAGTTATACCTTTGCCTTGCGCATTCCATTCCATCTCCTTCAATGTCGATGCAATACATGCACCAACATGATCAACAACGATATGATCCACTTCATATCATCATGTGATCATATTGGTTCATCGATCTTGACTTCACTTGCTTTTCACCATTGCCTTCGTCCATCGGTGCCAAGTCTTGCTCAAGCTTCACCGCCACGCGGTCTATCGCTCCAAAGCCTCCGACTTGCCCTTCACGCTTGCAACCGGTCCATCAAGCCAAGTCTTGTCTTGATCTTCTCCACCTTGATCACATGACTCAATGTCATGTCTCATGTGCAATAAGCTCCTTCATCATCACATGTGTGAGCTTTGCAACATCTCCAAGCCATTTTCACCTTCATGGCATATGTTGCTCACACACATGTACCTGTGGACTAATCACCTGTGTATCTCACATAAACATAATTAGTCCACCTAGGTTGTCACTCAATTACCAAAACCACACAAGGACCTTTCAGATTCTCGGAGTATATATACTTATCCAAAGAACCATTTGGCATATACTCATATATGAGGGCCCTCTTTGAGCCTTCCAAACAAAACCCAAATAAGCTAACAATATTAATGTGAGATGTCCTGCCAATACTAATAACCTCATTCACAAACTCCTCGCCATCACCTTTGGAGTCATGCAGGAACTTCACTGCAACTAGACGACGATCATCTAGCCTTCCTTTGAAAACCATGCCATAACCACCTTCCCCAACCTTATTATTAAGGGAAGATGTTATCTTTGTTACTTCGGAGTACTTGTATCGTTTTGGAGCTAGTGACCCATGTAATAATATTAGGGCCTCAATGTTCTCTTCTGTGGTGTTGCTGGTCTTTTTGCATAGGAAAAACCTTAGTTTTTGCTTATGCCATACCAACACATATATACATGGTAGGAGCAAGCTTGCAACTACTGAAATCGAAACTGAAATTATAGTAGATGTTATTTTCTTCTCACAAAACAATGAGGTGTTAAATATGAGCATTCAGATTTAGAGGCCATAAACAGTCTATATTGTAAATATGAAAATAAATTATAATGATCACATTTTGCTCCAAATCATGTAGTTTTTGTTTAAAATTTTCATTTTTGTATCTATGTGCAAAAATATATATATGTAAGAAGTTTTATTGTATTTCTTCGAAGGTCTTCCTGGTTCCAATATCTGAGACTAAACATTAACTTATTGCATTAAATAACTATATATAACTACTAAAATTTGGATTGTTAGATACGGTGTATGAAGTAATGTGAAAAGAAGCACACCTATTAGTGCTATCTCATTCCTGCCATTCCCGTTGAAACCTAAATAGCATGGAAATTAAATAAGTAGTGGTATAATGATACTACTGGAAACTAGGTGTTTGCCAAGTGCAAGAATGTTTGCCGACTGTATTATATCGGGCACTCGGCAAAGAAGATCTTTGCCGAGTGCTTTAAAAAAACACTCGGCAAAAAAAAGCAAAAAACACTCGGCAAAGTTTGGCACTCGGCAAACCAGAAAAAAAACACTCGGCAAAAGCTAGGCACTCGGCAAAGAACCGCCACGTGGACAACCGTTAGTCCGTGTGTCGTCCATTAGTACATTTGCCGAGTGTCCGTTAGTGGAAACACTCTGCAAACAAATACACTCGGCAAAGAAATATGTTTGTCGAGTGTAATTATTTGGTACTCGGCAAAGAAATATGCTTGCCGAGTGTATTTGTTTGGCACTCGGCAAAGAAACAAGTTTTTTTTCTGCTCTCCACATACAACATGTGGTACTCCATGCTAAGATTTGGTATATTTTTTGACCTGTTTACTATATTTAATTAATTTATTGTATTTCAAGGAATTTTTTGGTATAAGTCAAATTTGAACTGCAAGTGATTCAAATAATAGAATAAAATGAGTAGAAAAATGATATTCATGTTATCAAGTCCATTGTGAGGCCTTACCCGAGAAATAAAAAGAAATTTCGATCATCTTGTTCGGGAAACACGACCACGAACGTGTGGCCGAATGGTTTTTAAATTCTAAAAAAAGAAAACAAAGTCTGAAAATCATGAGATTTGTCATGATGTGATGATATCATACGTGGAGGCTGTGGTAAAAAATTAAGAAGGTTTCATATAATTTGTCACGTACGATGTTTACAAACCGAAGCATCTCAGAAGAAGAATCGTAGCGTTGAGAAGGATTCGGTAAGATTTGGAGTCAAAGTGACGGTTGAATTGGAGTTTGGCTTCAAAACTTTTTGTATAGGCAATAGAGAACATAGATTGTTACATGTGAAATTTTGGTAATTTTTTGGATCCGGTTGATAATTTTAATTTATTAAGTGCAATTATAGAATTTTAATTGATATAAATTAAATTTGAGTTGTAACTGCATAAAATAATGGAATAATATTCCTACAAAAAATCAAATATATATTGTTGAGTCAATTTGATAAGGTATTTTCAAAGTAGATCAGAACAAATTGAGAAAAACACGTCCCGGAAAAGAAGGAAAATTAAAAAAAAAGGTTTGTCGAGTGCCCATTATCTAGCACTCGGCAAATCTGATGTTTGCCAAGTGCCAAACGTGGGACACTCGGCAAACCCCCTCACCCGGCCTCACATACGCACAGTAGTTTAGGGTTTGAAAATGAAAAAAATCTGTTTGTCGAGTGCCCGTGATCTAGCACTCGGCAAAGCCTACCAAGTGGGTTTGCCGAGTGTCCCACGTCTGGCACTCGGCAAACGCTAGCTTTGCCGAGTGCCAGATCACGGGCACTCGGCAAAGCGTCTTAATTTGGTAACAAGCGTCGGCACTCACACGCACCCTCACACACACACGCACTACCTCAGCCGCACCCGCTGCTCCCTCAGCTGCACCGTGCCCTTGCTCCGCCAGCACCTCCCGCGCCCCTGCGCCGCCCCATGCCCCGGCCCACCCCCTGCGCCGCCCCCGTCGCCCCCCTCGCCGCCCCATGCTCCGTCCCCCCAGCACCCTGCCTCGCGGCCGCCGGCCCCTACGCCGTGCCCGCCGCCGCCTCGTCATGGCCGTCGACCCCCTGCCCCGGCCCCGGCCCCGCTGCCCCCTGCGCCTCGATCAGGTAAGGACCCTATGATTCTAGAATGACTAATCATTGCAACATTATTTTTTAAGCACCCTGTTTAATAACATTACCTTATCTGGTAACACTAACATAGCAATGTGCCAATGTTAGTACCCCATAATAGTTGATGGAAACATAAAGATGTTATTGCTCTTAAGGCACTACTTTCGCACTTTGCAGCTAATTGAATGCACTGGACTTTGATATCGATGTGTGAGCATCATTTATTTAGCACAGTTCCATCTGTTTTCACGTGAAAAAAGTTACTTGTTTTGGAGCATATGATGTGTCAAATGATGATGAAGCTACGTAGCAAATGCTAACATGATTTTGTCTACTGGGATTGAAAGCAGAATAAACTCGTGTACTTTCATATCTGAATCTGGATAGTACCTGCTATTGCTAGAGGTTCGATCAGATTTTATTTTTAGTTTGATCTGATGGTCTGATGAGTGTTATATTGCTGTGTATGTGGTTGTCGGCCATCGTGCTGTTGGTTTGTTGCAGGTTTTGGTTATCTCACCGTACAGGGGAGGTGCTGCCGAAATTTACAATTGACACTATTATGTTCGTTTGTTGTAGGAGAGACTATTGTAAATAGCATTCTCTACCATCCTCGACTCATCACTTTGCACGACACCAAGGTGAGGCATCATACACCCCTCTTTTCTGTATGATGTTCGTATATCACGTAACCTAGCTAGGTGTCTCCTGTTCGAACGAGCGCGCCAGCGACGCACGGCCGCCGTGGCTGTCCACCTGGAAGGCGCTCGGCCCGCACGGCGGCGCCGAGGAGGAGGAAGGCTGCTGGTCCGGGAGCCAGAATGGGTAGGCGATGGTCAGGTTGCCACATGTCCTCGGCGGGCAGCTTGTCGCGGCAGCAGGTGCTGTTGTCGCCACGTGGACTACTAGGAATGTTAGGGTGGAGAGGAGCCGCAGCCGAGCTTGCGCGGCCATGGCGGCGATCTGGCAATGATGGTTGGTGGTGGCCGTGGCGAGGAGACGAGGAGGATGGTGGAAGGTGTCTGTATGCTTTGGACAAGAACAGGGGCCGTTTGACTTGTTTGAGCTTGGAGTTGAAAAATGAAAATAGATTTCATATTTGATTGCATGGTCTCCATCTTCGACTTTTGGGTGCACCGTGTACGTGTGAACTTGATTTGGCTTTTCCGTCATTTTTATTGGCTGGATGCCTAGGTGCGCATGCCCTGAGTGCGATTTGGTCCATGGCGCACGGCAACGTGTTGATGCGGTGATGCCAATGCTTGCGTCAGCAGATTTGTACGAGTAGGTGATAGGTGAGCGCGCATTGCACCGTTCGTGGCTTCTTCACCGACGGTTTTATGAACGGATAATTGTCGGCATCCAAAGTGACGGGGTTGTTTGCTGACGGACATCTTATTTTAAGCAGTTTGCCATAAGATACTCTGGTTCGATGAAATTAGGTCACAGGACACCACGGACCGATTGCAGCTGGTTGAGGAGAGAGAAAATTTTGTTTTGAACATCTAGTGCCTCTGAGCCATAGTTGGGTCCGCCCCTCTCCCTCTCACTGATGCGCGGGGCCCACCTGCCATCTTCTTCTTTCTCCTTTTCTCCTCTTCTTCCGTTGCGGAGCAACAGCCACCGCCGTCGACCAGCCCTGGCCACGCAGGCGCACGGACGAGCTGGCGGAGCTGGTGGCGTGGGAGGCGGTGGTGCTGCTGGAGGTGGGCGACGACATGCGCCTCCTCCGCGACAAGCTCGAGTGGCTCCACACCTTCATCCGCGACGCCGACCGCCGTCGCCGCCTCCGCGATGACGAGTTCGTCGCCATCTGGGTGCGCCAGACCCGCGATGTCGCCTTTGAGGCCGAGGACGCGCTCGATGACTTCCTCCACCACGCCGAGCGGAGGCGGAGGAAGGCCACGCTGGGTTCCGGGTGCAACGTCGGTGGGTGGTGGTGGTGGCCTGCCCGGTGCGCTGGCCAGGTCGCGCTCCGCCACGAGCTCTCGGGGCGTATCCGCTAGATCAGGAATCGGCTCAATGAGATCTCCGAGAACCGCGCCGTCTACAATATCGAGCACACGCCCGTGTCGGCCTGGGCCGCCGCCTCCTCCGCCACCACCCTCGTGGCCTAGTACGAAGCAGTGTTTGAGGTCAATTTGAGTAGATTTCCTCCTGCAAATCTATCCATGCGGTGCTGCTGTCCTTCTCGTTTCATTCTCCGGCCAAGATTCGTCTGAATTTTCAAGCTGCTGTGCTAGCGAAGCGATCAATTTGATCGGATTTATTTCAGTGCAGGGACGATCTAGAGGACACAGTTGGGCTGGACAAGTACAGCGACATGCCAGGATCCTGTGGTCCAAGGAGTTGGCCCCGCCGGCGAACGAGAAGCAGCACAGGGGCGGCAGTAGCAACAGCTGGCCCCGGATCATGTCGCGGGCCTTGGTGCGCCTGCGGGTGGACGAGGGGTTTGTGCGCCCGCGCCGTGGGAGGACCATGGAGGAGGTCGGGCAGGGGTACCTCAAGGAGCTCATCTCCCGCTGCATGGTGCAGTTGGTGGACAAGGACGACTTCGGCGCCGTGAAGACGGTGGTGGTGCACGACCGCCTGCACGCCTTCAGCAGGATGAGGCGCAGGAGGCCAGCTTCATCAAGAGCCACGACAGCACTGACGTGCTCGCGCCGGGCACCGGGCACCGCCTCACCGTCCTCAACACCACCACGGACAGGTACGTGCAGCTCCACCACGGACAGAAAAAAAGAGAAAGGAAGAGAGGAAGAAGAAAGCGGCAGGGGCAAGAATGTCATATCACCATTGTTCTCTCTCCTCAACCAGTTGCAACCGGTTCGCGGTGCCATGTGGCTAAATTTCACCGAATCAGAGTGCCTTCTGGCAAAATGCTCCAAAGTGGGTGTCCGTTAGCAAAGGACCATCACTTTGGATGTCCGCTAGACAATTTTCCCTTTTATGAACGAAGCGAAGTTATGCTTGGGCCGTCAGAGATATAGACAAAAAAAAGTTCATTCTTTCCCTGAATTATTGTCATAGTTTGTTTTCTCTTGAAATTCAAAAATCAAAATCAAGTGTCTTACATCTTATTAAACTCTCACCCAAGTTTGGAGTGGTTTTTGAAGCCTGTTTCGTGTTTTTTAGTAAAATAATAGTAAATACTTAATAAAGTTTTTAAAACACAAAAAATGTTCCTAATAAGACTTTAAAAATTCAAAAAAAATCCAGAGATAGATTGGGATAGTTCACATTCAAATAAAATATTTTGAGCTCATGAAACATATTTAGAAACTTAAAAATACGTTTAGCTCTAGAAAAATGGAAAAAATATCTAGAAAATTTTATAAGATTCCCAAAACATCATAATTGATGTATAGACATGGTTTAGAATCTTTGCATATAAAAAATATGAGATAAAACTAGCGTAAATGTAACATACATTAATACTGAATGCATTCGTGTTGGTCACATATTACGTCTTTTGTTGTGGAAAGTTCTAAAAACATATTTACATATGAATTGGAATACTTTGAGAAATTTCTAGATTTTTTGGATACTTTCTTATTTTTCTACAGCTAAATCTATGTTTTGGAGCATCTAGAGATATTTTCATGAGCTCTAAATATTTTATTTGAATTTGTTGTATCCCAATCTATCACTACAATTTTTGGAATTTTTTAAAAGCATAGAGACATTTTTTGTACTTTAAAAATCTTATTATCAAGTATTTACTATTTTTAACATAAGAAGGATGAAACCACCTTCAAAACCACTTTAAATCATGGCAGGGAGTTAACTGAAATGGTTTTGAGAGTTCAGACAGATAAGATGTCTGATTTTAGAGTTTGAGGAACTTTTTCCAAGATATAGCGAAGTATGTTGTGGGCCTTACACACGCTATTTTTGTGGTGGAAGGATCCCAGGCCTGAGGACCGCACGAGCCAGTCCGGCCCATTGAAGAAACTGGGCCGGAGGCGCAATGATAGTCAGACTGAGGAATTTCAATCCTTCCAACCCATGTCTGGGCGAGATGTGCATGGGCTTCAAAGCCCGTAAATGGTGCGTTGCGCTCCGCCCTGCGCCGAAGGCAGCTGATATGCCCCGTCCCGGCGGCTCCTGTCGCCGCCGTCAGACACGGCGGCAGCACCACAGCGCGACTTCGGCTAATTACGTTGCTATGCAGGAAATTGTTGAGCAAACGATATTCCGATCCACCCCCGCGTGGCCGCAGTCTCGGTGCCCGTGCCGGTGCCCGGTGGTGATGGGGTCACCGATGGATGACGCATCCCGCGCCCACGGCCCGCCTGTCAAAAATGGAGGTATGTGCTTGCTTATTCACTGGCTGTTAACAACTGGATGGATCTCTGTCGAGTACACACTTGTATCCCTAATGATACGTAGATCTAGCACATATTGTGGTTTGCTAAGCTGTCGCCCTGTGGATCAATTTGATTATTAAGTTCTCAGGCCGATAGAAAACGTGTTCTCATTTTCAATGGAATCGTCACGAGTACACTAATGTTGCTGGGAAACGGTCTGCTGTAACTGTTGGCGTTCGGCCTTTGGATGTGTTCTTTTATAATTTTTATATACTTGTTTAAAAAAAACGAGATCCAATCTAAGAGAAACTAGGCGGTTTTTCGTTACGAAGAGAGAATAGACACCCAAATTCAAGCTTAGAGGGGACTTACCTGGCTGTGGTTGGGTGTACGACTACACCTCCTACCCACCCAATTGAGCTAAGCTCACTTCCTATTCTAGTGAACGTGTTTTGGGTCTTGGATTGCAGGAAGGTCTACAATTTGGACAAACAGGTGAACATAAACTTGATATGGGCACAAATTGGTAGTACATTAATATTTGGATGATGGACTGACTATGTGTGATGTGTGGTGCATGGGTGATGGAAAATTGCAAAGCAGCAAATCAAATAACAATGTATATGGTAGGATCACGTGGAACTATGATTAAACCCACACATTGATTTGCTGCTTTTATGAATATGTATATTCATCTATTGAAAATGGGCAATAGTAATTCAAAGGTGCTACAAGAATATACTTTTCATTGTTTTGGTTTTGAGTGACATTATAAAACATAGATGATATGAGTCCTCCCAATAGGGAATATCTTGGCTAAGATGAGAAATGTGATTGGGGCAGGGGGCAGGAAAGGAATGGCTTGGGTGGCATTTTCAATTCATTGATATTCTTCTCCAACATTTCTGTTACTGTATTCATGGAAGGACGACTTCCTGGGGCCATTTGTATGCACCACAAGCCAACTAGAGCAATCTGCTTTGCAGTCTCTTCTAGCTCGGATGTGACTTCATGGCTTTGCAAATCCTTTAACATGCAGTCATAAATCCAGTCGGTAAAATACGTTTCACTAGAATTCTCAGTATTTCCCCGGCCGCTTACCATTTGTAGTATCATCATTCCATAGCTGTAAACGTCTGACTTAGTTGACACAACTCCAAACCCTCTATAAAACACTTCTGGAGCAATGAAACCAAGGGTGCCTCTTGCGTCACCCATTGAGAGAGCACTGTCCTTGACATGACACAGTTTTGCCAATCCGAAATCAGCAATTTTCGGACAGAAGTCTTCGTCAAGAAGGATGTTGTGGGGCTTAATATCAAAAGGATGATGCGGGTGCTGCAGCCCTGATGCAAATACTCCAGGCCATGTGCGATGCCAATAGCTATTTTCCTCAATTTTTCCCATCCAAGTGCCGACTTTAAACTCTCTGAATAAATATACTTCTCTAAAGAGCCATTGGCCATGTACTCATAAACAAGGGCTCTCTTAGATCCCTGTAATCAAAAGCCAAATAAACTGACAATATTGACATGGGAGGTCCTACCAATGCTAGTAACCTCATTTAGGAATTCCTCTCCATTGCCTTTGGACCCTTTTAAGAGTTTCACAGCAACCATATGGCCATCTGGTAGAGTACCCTTGAATACTGTACCATAACCACCCTCTCCTAATTTTTCCTTAAAACCTCTTGTTATTTTCTTCAGATCTGAGTGACTGTACCTCTTTGGAGTCAGTGATTGATATCTCCTTATTATCTCTTCCATATTTGATTTACTCCGAGCATGCTTTTGGAGAATGAAGAGACCGAGCTTTTGTTTCCGACGGTATATGAACCAAAGAAGACATGTGAAAAACAACCCAGCTGTAGCAGACATGGAACCTAGAAAATTAAAACCAAAGAATGAAACCCAGCCATGGAAATATACACTACTATAGAAGATTTCCATCTATGCATATGCAAGTTCTTGAGGATGCTATAATTCCATATGATTAATTTAATCTTCTCCCTAGAGTTCTTCTGTAATATCAGATATAGATATCTGCAAAACTGATAAGAATAGCAGTAGATCCTATTCTGTTATCACATAAGAGCACGAGGCTAACCTGCCAGCTGAAACTTTAGATGGTAGTACAATACGTATAGCTAACCAAATAAATACATACTACCTCTGTCCCTGAATAAATTAATTCGTAGAGATGTCTTAAATCAAACTTTTCTAAGTTTGATCGGACTCATACAAAAGAGCACAAAGACTTATGACACCAAATTAGTATCGTTACATACACCATAAAATGTATTTTCATTATGTGCTTATTTGGTTTCATAAATATTTGTGTTTTTTCTATAAATTGGGTGGTCAAACATAAAAAAATTGACTTCCAAGAATTGATTTATTTAGGGATGGAGGGAGTACCTATTAGAATTAATCTGATGTTGTGCCTCCTGTCTGCAATATATATTGATTCTAGTTAGCAACATCTCAATCACAACGAAAAATTATCCAATAATGACAGAGATAGCATTATTGGAGAAAACTGAAGGGAAGTGCAATATGACAAGTGATTTTTCCGTGACAGCATGGCACTGTCTATTTTTTCTTGACATTTACCTTTTTTTACAGGTGATATGTTTCTAAAATTAGTGTTTCAAGTTTCAACTGTTTTAAATGGAGTAAATTGCCTGTTGCAAAATCTTCTCATGTGCATTCACTACAAAAGTGCAATAACCAGTTACTGAGTCATGTTTTTACCTCCTTAGGAATGTAAATGTAAATGTAAATGATGTTATGATGAGATATGTCAGATGTCCTACTGGCATGCTAATTGACTGTGACTTTGGTTTTCAGTTGGACTAGAAGAATCTGACCTTTTGCACACCAAATGCATGATTCAATTTATTTGATTGTAATAATCTCACAAGTGAATTTACCAGATGGTGGCTGCCATGTCAAGAGGAAGCCATCGCTGATGAGTTGCTCATAGCTGCTCGCGTTCGCCTCGCCAAATGTCCCCCGCACTGGCACTTGCTGCATCCCTCAACTGAGTACTGCGTGTAGTTGCTCGAGTCATTGTAATGCCCTCCAACATGAACAAGCAAGCTGCTGCCACATTTCGTCTCCACAAGCCCCATATCCGGCTCCGGTGTCTTGGTGCACATGTAGAAGATGAGGTTCAGATTGACAGGGCTGATCGAGAATGGAAGACCGATTTTGGAGGAGGTGTTGGCAGTCAGAACATGGCAGCCCTTGGAGTTGGATCCGATGAAGTCCACAAGCTTGTGGATATCAGCGACAAGCAAGGAGCTGTTGTCGTAGAAGATGTTGAGGATCCGGAATCTATACTTCCGCCGATAATACCCAAGGTATGGAATGCTGTTGTTGCAATGGACCTCGAATCCCAGACGACCGCATTTTGTGTCCGTTGCCTGCTCCGGAACAAATCCAAATGGGTCTGAGATAGTCAGGTTGCCGCATAACTTGGGCGAGCAGCTAGCCTCTTGGTCATCTGCTGGTTCGACGGCTGCTACAAGTGAGAGAGCTAACCATAGCAAGGCCAAGCTAAACAGGGACATCGGAGTGGAGGTGACAAATTGGGTGGAGGGCTGGAGACAGAGTTGAGAGATGCATACATGGAGGCATGTAGCCGAACAAAGTAGATATGAAGAACTTGTTGGTTGTCTGAGAAGTGGAGTGCCCGAAAGGCAAGTCTTGACTACAGAGGTGACATGACTAAAGTCTGAGCCATCATCATACTATGACTGGCCGGGTATAACTTTTGAACACAACAGTGTGGTCGTGGTTGGCAGGCCAGCTTAGTCTAATCACTGTCATCAGCTTCTAGTCCTTTGTATACTTCGGAAGTAAGGGCCTGTTCGGAAGTAAGGGTATTAAAGCCGGTTAATAAGCCGGCTGAAGCTGTTTTGTTGTGAGAGAAAAATAACTTCCGAAGCATACAAAGGACTAGAAGCTGATGACAGTGATTAGACTAAGCTGGCCTGCCAACCACGACCACACTGTTGTGTTCAAAAGGTATACCTGGCCAGTCATAGTATGATGATGGCTCAGACTTTAGTCATATCACCTTTGTAGTCAAGACTTGCCCTTCGGTGACTCTGTGACTGTACAGCCGGAACCAATTCCAGGAAGATGTTGACTGCCTGTAGTCAGAGTACATGGGAAGGATCCAAATTGTTAGTAGTTGTGCATTAGTTACGAGCATCCTGACTGTTAGTGGTAGACTTGTGAATCGTGATATTCACAGTGAGCTGCCGTGGGCGTCCTGGCAAGTGCATGAGAATTCCAACACGAGAGCACATGCCAATGTAAGTCTCACAAAATACTTCTATTGGAATAGGCCCTTTTTCAGTTTGACCTGATTCCGACGTAACTGGAGTAATAGTATATATTCTTTATACATATGTGGAACTTTGCATAATTTTTCTTTAGTTTTCAGGAGAATTTTTCCTAACTTCAGGTGGACTAGGTCTGCAGATCTATCTTGTAAAGCTGTGTCATGATAGTAATTAATTAAGTTTAAAAGGCACTAGTTATCATCTAAAGTCATTTGCCTTTGGGGGTAATTTTGTGCTCCAGGCAACGGAAGCAAGATTTATGCTTGTTATTGGTCCATGTTACGTACATAGTTACCTGATCGTCTTAATATCCAACTTGATATGCTCTAGTGGCATATATATCAATCCTTAAATGATGATGAGGAGCACTATGATGACTAATTTGATACTGGTATTGAGGACTTGGGTAGTGGTGTGCGAGAGAAGTAAAAGCATCAATCAATATAATATACTCCCTCCGTTCCAAATTATAAATCGTTTTGATTTTTTTTGTTTCATCCATTTACCTATGTATCTAGACATATTATTATACATAGATGGATAACAAAATGGATGTACCAAAAAAGTCAAAGCGACTTATAATTTGGAACGGAGGAAGTAGTTATGATCGGTATGTATGGGATCAATGATACTTCGCTAATTTGACAACTTTTGACAAAAGCTGCACTAGTACATTTTTTCACCCATTCACACTTTTAGGAGAGACTACATGTTTAGTTTTTGAGTTTTTTTACGGTATAGTTGGACAGTATCATGTTTCTGGGGTGAGTGTGCGTGCGTGTTGTGGGCGTCTACATTGTACTGTGTTATTCTAAAAAAAAAGATATGTTCTTATTTTGAGAAAACGAATTAAAGCTATTGAGTTTTTTTTTTCCAACCACCTCAAAACTTGTATTAGTTTATATTAATGAAGAAAAAAAAAGTGCCCAGATTTGCGTCATAGAGCATTTTAACCTTGGCGGGCTGGCTATACATACACACCTTCTGCCGTTGCTCTCAGTAGGAATATGACATGATTTAGGATACACCAATGCCAAATTAGCATATTCTACATTGCTTAAACTAGTCTCGTGAGATAAGGGACTCTTGAATGATCAAGGCAGAAAGAATATTGTTTTGATTATATACTGGACCACCATGTATACCCTCATAGATCGTTGTTTCTATTTTTTTAAGGCACAAAGCGTGGGATGCTGTAGGCTAAGCAAACCCAGGCTTAGGCCTAATAAGTGGTTTCACTATCATCCTTGCACCAGGCTGTCCACAACCTGAAGGCACCTTTGCGTTACTAGGGTTTGTAGCACTTGCATTTTCTGCACTCAAATTGTGAGCTGAATCTTCGCTGCAAAGAGAGAAACATGAGAAGATCAGTGCTTTATTTTTGAAGTTTTACAACAAATGTGCATTGCAGTGTCTTACATTATTTGACATAAGTTTTGCTTTGGTGGCATGTCTAATTCATCTAATCTCCTCCCGAACATATCCAAAACGTTCGTTATTGTAGGACGGTACATAGGTAATAATTGTATGCACCATAAACCAATTAAGGTCATCTTCTTTGCCATTTCCTCAAATTCGCTTCCGATTTCATAGGTTTGTAATCCATCATCTTGAGCAAAGTGGTCATAAATCCAATCTGGAAAATACATTTTACTGGAGTTCTCATCCATCGCTTCGACATTTTTCCGGCCTCCGACCATCTCCAGCAACATCATTCCATAACCATAAACATCTGACTTTGTTGAGACATTTCCAAAAGTTGGATAGAAAACTTCAGGGGCAATAAAGCCAATTGTTCCCCTAGGATAAGTCAATGAAAGCTTACTCTCTTTTGTGCCACACAATTTGGCTAGACCAAAGTCTGCAATCTTTGGGCAGAAATCTTTGTCCTGAAGGATGTTTTGAGGCTTGATATCAAAATGAACAATACGTGTGTTGCAACTATGGTGCAAGTATTCTAGCCCACGGGCAATTCCAATTGCAATTTTATACAGTTTGTCCCATCCTAAAATTCCTATGTGGTTCTCTGCATAAATATACTTATCTAAAGAACCATTTGGCATGTATTCATATATAAGAGCTCGTTTCGAACCTTCCAAACAAAATCCAAGCAAGCTAACAATGTTAACATGGGATGTTCTGCTAATGCTCATGACCTCATTCACAAAGTCCTCTCCATTTCCTTTGGAGAGGTGCAATAATTTAACAGCGACAAGATGACCATCGTCCAGCCTTCCGCTGAAAACTGTACCATAACTGCCTTTTCCAAGCTTACTATGAAGGAAATATGTTATCTTTATAACCTCTGAGTAATCGTATCTTTTTTTTAGTAAGGATCCATGCAATGTAACCAAGTCTTTAATGTTTCTCTCCATGGTGTTGGTAACCCTTAGTTTGTGATCCTTCCCTCGCCATATCAATGCATAAGTAGCAATGCCACATGCAAAAATCAAGAATGTAGCTGCTAACAAGAACCCTGAGATTGAAGAGAGTGTTATTTTGGATTTGGAAGCACAACAATGCCATTTTAGGTACTAAAGGGCACAATTAAGTAGTTAAATATAAAGGGAGATTGATTCGCAAACAACAAAAAAGGAGATTATGTGCTCAACACCTGCTAAAACCAAAGATTTGAACTAAAGCTCCCAAGGAAACTAAGGTTTCTTTCAAGCACAGTATTCGCACCTTTGTGCTAATTGATTTTTGGCATACCTATGATTATCTTCCTGGCCGTACCGTCGATACCTGCATGGGCACAAGTTTTATTATTAACTAAGACTTCTGTATTGATTACTCAAGAAAAGCTGATGTATTGCACTAATTCGTTCTAAATTGTAAGTCTTTTTAACTTTTCTAGATACATAACTTTCGACTACATATAAATTATCTAGAATAACCAATTTAAAATGGAGGGAGTATAACTGTATCGGACAACATTTCTAGCTTTAATGTTTTTAAACATATCTCTCAACAACCTATGCTGACTACTCACTTGGTTCCAAAATTTGGAGCTGACGTTTACAATATCAGATTGTTTTTTTATTAAATCTATTATAAGACATACTCCCTCTTTTCTAAATTATAAGACGTTTTGACACTTTTAGGTTCATAGCCTTTACTACGAATCTAGACATAATATGTATCTAGATGCGTAGCAAAAGTTATGAATCTAGAAATGTCAAAACATTTTATAATTTGAAACGAAGGGAGTATTTTATTAGTGTATTATCTTAGTATCGTAGATATTAGTGTGTTTTTCTACAAAACTAGATAAAAATTAGAGAAGTATGACTTAAAATGAAATAAAAGTAACCTATATTTTAGACAGAGGAAGTACGAGTCATGGCTAGGAGCGTTCGAAGAAAAACTACAGAGCACTACTCTTCTTACCTTGAGGCGTGGTTGAGCAGAGCAACTCGTCGCGGCAGAAGCACTGGAACGATTGTTGGACGAACCTGCACTCTGCTCCGCTCCGTTTGCACGCAGCGCAGTCTCCCACCGCCGTCCACTCCAAGAGGAACCCATCGCTGATCAGTCCCTCGTAGTCGTAGCGATGAGGGGCCGGCTTTCCGTCGTCACGGAACAAGCGCACCGGCACGCTGAGAAAGCTGCAGTTCGTCGGAACACCCGTCGTTGGTCCGTCGCCGTCGGAGACGTAAGCTCCCATCGTGTGGTTAGCACACGGCCGTGGCAGTCGTATGCTACGGCTACGAAGAACCTCGCAGTCATAAACGACGGTGGTGTTGTCGACGGTGGCTCTTGCTACGTGGAGGAGCAAGGAAGCTAATGCGACTGTTAGCAGCAGCTCCATGGCCATCGAAGGACACCGAGGGACCTGCTGCCTGCGGGCTGCGGTGCTTGCCTGCTGGGCACAAATACGGAGTATGTGTCTTGGCAGTGTGCCTGTGCGAACCTGGACCGGCTTTGTCAGATTGTCATTTTGTCAACCTACCTTGAGGGTGTTCGATGTAAGGACTAAAATTTAGGAGGTGTCACATCGAATATCATATCTATTGTCACACCAGGTGTTCGGATATTAATAATAAAACTAATTACAGAAGCCGTGATTAATTCGTGAGACGAATATATAAAGCCTAATTAATCCATCATCAGCACATGTTTACTGTAGCACAATATTATCAAATCATAAACTAATTAGGCTTAATAAATTCGTCTCACAAATTAGCCTCAATCTATATAATTAGTTTTATAATTAATCTACGTTTAATACTTTAAATAGTGTCAAACATGTTTATCGTAGTTAATGTGATAGAGACTGAATTTTAGAAGGAGGAACAAACACCCCTGTATATAACTCCAAACAGGAAAGTCTTCGACGACCAGTAAACGATATTCACATTTTTCTTGCTGAATCAACGCGTGAAGCAGCGTTCTGCTACGACCGAAGAATATTCGTGCTATTCCGCTGATGATTTTTGCGAAGCAGATGCGAAGTCTGTGAATCCACGCGTGCAATTTCTTTGACTGAAGAATATTCGTGCTATTCCGCTGATGATTTTTGCGGTTGATAAGTTGACTGATACTGTTTTGTTGTGAGAGAAAAATATTTTACCATAACTGATAAGCCGGACTAATAAGTTTAAACGAACATGGTGATTAATAAAGAACGGTCGATGAAATGTTGTGAAAATATAGGCTTAAGAGTTCAGACTCCGGGCCTTAGGCTTGTGGCCTTGAACGATGACAGCCACATTTCGAGAAGAATTCCTCTCGAGAATCGAGATTGCATTTTCCAATGAAACCTAGCTATTCAGATAACATCAGGGATACAAAAAAAAAAGATTTAAAAGGAAGCCAACGAGTAAAAGTTGGATGCGCATAATTCCAAGACGGGAAGGTTCATGGGCTTCAGGCCCGCACGAGCTACACGAGTTCAGGCTCGGCACTCCGGCTTTTGCGCCTCAAGACCCGGACAATACATTCCCCTTATATTTGGGCTGAATCTGAACAGGCCTGGGTCCTGGGATCCCGAGGTTCCGCCCGGTCGCCGACGGCGGCGCAGCTGCTGCTGCCGTCTCGCCGTGAGGCGCGGCGGCGAACGCACGAACCACCACTGCGACTGCGAGCCATCGTCCCACTACCACGCGATCGCAACTAGTGCCGTCGCATTAGCTGGATTGCCGAACAACCTCCGCGCCCGCTACGGCGCGGGCTTGGTACTTCTGTCCATGGCGGCAGACGTCTCGACTCCCGGCGGCGGCGCGTATGGAAGAAGGTCGCAAACCCATGGGATGATTGTTTCGCCTGGACTCGCGGCCGTGCGGGACCAGGCAAGCAGTGGCATCCACGAACCAAGTAAGTAGATTTGCGGCTTTGCTCTGATTTTGCCAGTTTCAGTTCTCGTGAGGGTCCATCAATCTGACTATAAGCTTATTGAAACTGTGCTCTGATTTGAATTGGAACCATTACCAGTTGGGTTAGCTGGATTTTGTTTATTGGGATTCATTTCGACGACCTTTAAAGGGGTGGGGTGTAAATCCATAGGATTATTGTTACCAGACTTCAGATATGATGCACTGCTACCTGGACTGCCAGGACGGCCTCTGGTGAGAACTTTGAAGGACTAGTTATGCAATTTATATTCATCTCTCTCAGGAATAGTTTGGTGCGCTTGGGAATAACCAAACTCGATTCCAAGCAAAATTATGCCTCTTTCCTGGCCCATTGTACATGGATGACCATGTTCAGCTTCATCTTCTTATTCTGACAGCTCTGCTCCGGTATCTTAGTTGATGCTCCTCAGCCGTCCTGAGATGCATCATTCCATAACTCTAGTATGAAAAAAATCTGTCTGCCTGAGCAAAAAAAAAAAAAAAAATGTGTACCTAACTTGATACCAGTATAGATGTGCACATTAGTATTTTATAAATTGCTAATACTGGGCTACCATATATGGATAGTAGTATTTAGTAATATATCTGAAGAAAGCTCCCTTTGGGTTTTACTATGTATGAGATCCTAGGCAAGATAGTAGCCTTTTCCTTTGAAAGCTATCGTAGTACCTTGTGATTTGAACCCCATTAATATGCCTGGTTTGTAATCCATTACTCTAGAGTAGGTGGTCATTTGACAAAGTTGATTAGTCTCACAGGATGTTTATTCTCGACCATGGGGAGGACTGTCATATAACATTTGAATTCACATGCTTTATCTCCTCAGCCTTCAGTCCTTCACTAGAACCTTGTGTTTCAGCAGAGCTGCTGGGAATCATTCTTTCTGTATTCAAATTGTAAACTGAATCTTTGCTGGAAAAATAAGAAATGAGTTGTAGATATAAAATTACTAAAAATGACAACTGCAGAAATGTCTAGAGAGAACATCTTACAGTATTTGACTGAAGTTCTGCTTTGGTGGCATGTCCAGTTTGTTTAAGTCTCTTTCAAACATTTCTAAAACCTTGGTTATAGTAGGGCGATGCATAGGTAAAATTTGGATGCACCACAGACCTATTAGAGTCATCTTTCTGGCAATTTCCTCCACTTCACTCGTGACATCACAACCATGTAATCCATCTTCTTGGGCAAAGTGATCATAAATCCAATGTGGAAAATACTTTTCACTAGACTTTTGAACCATTGATTTCACGTTTTTTCTGCCTCCAACCATCTCTAGCAACATCATTCCGTAACTGTAAATGTCTGATTTTGTTGAGACAACTCCAAAGGTTCGGGAGTGAACTTCAGGAGCAATGAATCCAATTGTTCCTCTAGCACCAGTCATTGAAAGCTTACTATCCTTTGCATGACACAATTTAGCTAAACCAAAATCAGCAATTTTTGGGCAAAAGTCCTTATCTAGAAGGATATTTTGAGGCTTGATATCGAAGTGAACTATTCGTGTATCACAACTGTGGTGCAAGTATTCTAGGCCACGAGCAATCCCAATTGCTATTGTATAGAGCTTTTGCCACCCTAAAGTTTCTTTGGGTTTCTCAGAGTAAATATATTTATCCAAAGAACCATTTGGCATGTACTCATATATAAGAGCTCTTCTTGAGTGCTCTAAACAAAACCCAAATAAGCTAACAATATTAACATGAGATGTCCTTCCAATGCTCATAACTTCATTAAGGAATTCCTCCCCATTCCCTTTTCACTCATGCAAGAATTTCACAGCAACAAGGCGATCATCATGTAGCCTTCCTTTGTAAACTGTTCCATAACCACCTTCTCCAAGCTTATTGTTGAGAGAGGAAGTTATGTTCACTACCTCTGAGTACTTGTATCTTTTTGGAGCTAGGGATCCGTATGATTCTATTAGAGCCTCAGCGTTCCTTTCATTGGTGCTGCTAGTCTTTGTGGCAAGGAAAAACCATAGGTTTTTCACCTTGCTCTTCCATATCAACATGCAAATACATAGAACAAGCAAACTTGCAGCTGCTGTTGTCGAACCTGAGATTAAGTATGTGTTATTTATTTTCTATAAAATCAAAATCCTAAATTATTTGTTTTCTTTTGTAACGAATGAGTTTTTTGTGCTCTAATTTTTTTGAACCATAGTTTTTTGTGCTCAAATCTTTTTGCATTTACCAAGTACTTTATAGTTTTCTTCTTGATGGAAATATTTACCTATTATTGTCGTCTTCCAGTTAGTCCTCTTGGTTCCTGCAATTGCCATAACTGATATTAGAAATCTTAATATTACATTACTTCAGTTGAAATATATATTCTGCTATAATTCTTTATGATGCACAAGATGAATATATATGCTTGAATGACATTAAAAGAAATTTTAATAAAAAAATATAGATACGTATGTGTGGAAAATTGTGAAGTTAACTTTACAGGACTACATATATTATTATTTGTCCAAGTTATTGCCATAAGCACTGGGGATACTACTTTGCTTATTTGTATTGCTGGTAAACAATTAATCTCGTACAAGGTTGCACAAGTCACATTACTTTTTTTTAGTCTATATCAATATCCTTTTCTTTTTGTTTTGTCCGACCAACTATTTTTAGTACTCTTTCCGAATTCCTCTTATATAGGTCAAGAGCTTGCTAAATCTACTCTAAAAATTGGATTTTGGTGTAAATAACAAAAATCTCCGAATTACTCCTGGAGCTTGCTAAATCTACTCCCTAAATTGTTTTTTGGTGGAATAAAAAAAATCGCGCCTTCAACAAATGCAGAAAAGAGATTGCTATCTAGACGTGCTGCCGTGTTGCCGGCAAACACCCCCACACTCCTTAGATTTCCACGTCGGCGTTAAGGGTAGCAGGACCCCGACTACGTAGTTCGTAGTCGCGATCCATGACTAAGGCTTGGAAGAAGAGAGAGAGAGATTAGATGATAATATCTTGCTTTCCCCTTCCATTGTCACCGTACCAGACTAAATAGACCTTAGAGGCTAACAAATCAGGAGCTAATTGTTCCTTAATCTAAGGAACTGACTTGATACTCTTTCTATCCTAGCCACTAAAATGGCTCAACCTGCTCTGCATACCCAGAGGGCGACGGCGTGGCCCCAGCAGCGCGCTTGACGGCACGGCTTATGTCTCGGGCACGCCGTTTCCTTGCATAGGGGCGGCCCCACATGACATCTCTCCCCCCCTCGACGAGCAGCTCGTCCTCGAGCTAGAAGGATGGAAACCTGTCACGAAAGGAGCCCAAGTCTTCCCATGTAGCAGAGGCAGCAGGTTCGCCTTTCCACTAGGTGAGCACCTGGCGGATCCCACGGGCCAGGCGAGCGCGCACCGCGTGTTCCGGCTCCGGCTCCACCACACCGTTGTGCATAGCTGGGAGAGGTGGCGGAGCAGCTGGAGGGTTGCCCACCCACTTCTTCAGGAGGCCGACGTGGAAGACATCATGGAGCTTGGCGCGCGGGGGTAAGGCGAGGCGGACAGCCACGTCGTTGATGAGCTCCGTGACGTGGTAGGGCCTGAAGAAGCGTGGTTGCAGCTTCCCTTTGGGCGCCTGGGACAGCGACGCTACTGGGCGATGGCGTAAGCGGAGCAGGACCCAGTCGCCCACGGCGTAGGAGACGTGCCAATGATGCTTGTCGTAATGGAGCTTCTGGACAGCTTGAGCTTGCTCCAGCCGGTACCGTGGGACCGCCAAGAACTCCTCGCGTTCGGCCATCGTTTGGGCCACAGCAGCCACGCGCGTGTCTCCGGGCTCATAGGAGCGGATGGTTGGAGGATCGTGGCCATAGACCACCCTGAATGGCGTGTCGTGCAGCGAGGTCTGGTATGTCGTGTTGTAGATGTACTCGGCCCACGGCAGCCAGCGGAGCCATTGACGTGGGCGGTCGCCAGTGAAGCACCTCAGGTGCATGGCGATGACGCGGTTGGCCGCCTCTGTCTGGCCATCCGATTGCGGGTGGAACGCCGACGTCATGTGTAACTTGGTGCCCATGAGTCGCATCAGCTCCTTCCAGAACGTGGAGGTGAACACGGGGTCCCGGTCCGACACCATGGACTGTGGCATCCCATGGAGGCGTACAATGTCGGTGAAGAACTTGGCGCCGTGGAGCTCATCTAGAAGCTTGTCGACGATGGGTATGGGGAAGGCGTCCTTGACGGTGATGGTGTTCAGGGCGTGGTAGTCGACGCAAAACCTCCACGATCTGTCGGCTTTCTTGACGAGGAGGACGGGCGAGGAGAACGCCGAGGAGCTCCGTCGGATGAGTCCTTGCGCCAGCATCGCGGCGCACTGGCGTTCCAACTCGTCCTTGTGTGTGGCCGGGTAGCGGTAGGGGCGCACCGCGATTGGATGCGAACCGGGAACAAGGGTGATGCCGTGGTCGCGGGCGCGGGGTGGTGGCAGCCCGTGCGGTTTGTCGAAGATGTCGGCGAAGGAGGCGAGGAGCTCGTCCAGCAGGGATGGCGTTGCCGTGGTGGTGCAGATGGTGGGCGCCTCGGGGCCCTGGACGCCCTGCCAACAGCCCGGCTGGCCGTTTCGGTGGAACGTCATGCGCCGGGCACCAAAATCCCAGAGGACAGGGCCCAACGTTGCCAGCCATTGAGTGCCCAAAACCATGTCGAAACCTGCAAGGGGCATGACAAACAGATCGGCGTGAAAGGTGTCGCCGTGGATGGTGATCGCGGCCCGGCGGATGACGCCCACGCAGGAGACGCGTTCGCCGTTCACCACTGTCACCGTGAGCCTGGGGCGGCGTTGTAGAGGGAGGCCGGTGCGCTGCGCCACGGACTCGGAGAAGAAATTGTGTGTAGACCCCGAGTCCAGGAGCGCTAGGAACGAAGTACCGCCGAGGCTGACGTTGAGTTGCATGGTGTCGTTGAAACGAACGCCCACGATGGCGTGGAGAGAACACGGGCGACTCCTCGGCGGCCGCCGGTTTGGACGACTCCGGGGCCTCCTCCGTGTCATCCACCGCGCTGTCTAGCAAGAACAGGCGTTTGCAGACCTTGTTATGATCACGTACGAATTTCTCGTCGCAGTTGTAGCAGAGGCCCAAGCGGCGGCGCTCCTCCTGCTCAACTGTGGTCAGGCGCTTGATCGACCGGCCCTCCACGGTGACGATAGCCGAGGTGGATGACGTCGTCGCTGGGGGCGCTGGAAGGGCGAGACGCTGAACGGGCGCCGGCAGGAGGCCGCGCGTGGCAACGCGGGGTGGCGTCGCGGTATACTGCTCCCGCAGCTCCAGCTTGTGGGCCAAACTCATTGCGCCGGCGAGGGTCTGTGGGTTGTGGACCTCGACGTCAAAGCTGAGCGGCGGTAGCAAGACGCCGGTGAAGAGTTGTACCCGCTGAGCCTCGTCGAGGGGCCCCGCACGGGGAAGGAGCGCCTGGAAGTGGTCCTGGTACTCGATGACGGTGCCGGTGCGCCTGCAGTCCGCCAGCTCGAAGAGGGGGTTGGATCGTAGGGGAGGGCCGTAGCGGAGGTTCAGTAAGTCCGTGAAACACCGCCAGGACGGAATGCCTTCGTCCTGCTGGACCTGGATGTACCACATCTGGGCACCCTCCTCCAGGTTGTAGGAGCCATCCACACCTTCTCCTCCTCCATGATCCGCTGCTGATGAAAATACGACTCGCACCTATTGATGAAGATGAGAGGATCGGACTTGCCGTCGTACCGCGGGAAATCCATCTTCTAGAACTGTGGCGGACGGTCCTGGTGGTGCTCGCCGGCACTGGACTTGCTGGAGGACGATCGTGGTTCGGCGGCCAAGCGTTCAATGGCCTGGGAATTGGCCTCGACCGAGGTCTGCAGAGTCTTGAGGGTGGCGGCCAGGGTCTCCAGGGTGGCCTTGACGTCGGCGTTGTCCCCCATGGTGGAGGTGTTGCGAGCGGCGGGCGGTGAAGGTGCAGAGTGCGGCGGTGGTGGAGAGGCACCATGCACAGGCGAGGAACGCTGGGATCGTGATACCAGGTTGTCAAGGACGTCGACGTTAAGGGTAGCAGGACCCCGACTACGTAGTTCGTAGTCGCGATCCGTGACTAAGGCGAGGTTTTACCCCTCTGCTCCTAGTTTGTTTGGAAGAAGAGAGAAAGAGAGATTAGATGATAATATCTTGCTTTCCCCTTCCATTGTCACCGTACCAGACTAAATAGGCCTTAGAGGCTAACAAACCAGGAGCTAATTGTTCCTTAATCTAAGGAACTGACTTGATACTCTTTCTATCCTAGCCACTAGATGGCTCAACCTGCTCTGCATGCCCAGAGGGCGACGGCGCGGCCCCAGCAGCGCGCTTGACGGCGCGGCGTATGTTTCGGGCGCGCCGTTTCCTTGCATAGGGGCGGCCCCACATGACATGTGTGTTGGAATAAGTGATCTCAGGCCAGGTTTTGCGATGGGCCAACGCCTAGACCGGTTCCTCTAGCCGAGTCAAGGGGAGTACGTGACTCCCATATGTGCCGCGATCAGGAGCACCCAAATCGACCGTGGGTTGTGGCCCCTTGTCACACAACACCAATAAGAGGACCAGGCTCCCACTCGAGGAACCAACGTTATGAGGATTAGCCAGCTTTATGTAGCCATCTCCTCCTAAGATCCGATCATCAAGGTGTTGGAGTGACGGAAGGCCACCGTCGTCCCTTCTTCCTCATCGACAATTAGGAGGAGTCATCAACATCTTCCTCCCTAGTGTCTCCCGACGCCCAGATGAGGAGGAGGGCATCGCCACGACCTTTGCTAGACGACCATGATGATGGACTACCCTTACGACTATGGTTAGTCTTTCAATCCACTAATGTGTTCACGTTAACTAAATTAGAAGATCCTATGGTTAAGCCCCATAATTCTTTAATATTGTGGCATCAAGAGCCGACTAATCTAGTTCATGAAACCCTAAAGTGTGGACTGTGCCTCAGATTAATTCAATTTAGAGGCCAGTTTAATCTAATTAGTGCCCTAACTACTACATGCATGAGGCGGGAGCTGCCGCCGCCACTCTGCCTGCGCGGGGTGAAGCCCCACCGTGACTGTGTTGTTTTCATGGGTGCTGATGAGAGGCTGTTCGATGGGGCCACGTGCAACTTGGCTGCGCACGTGCTCTAGTGAAGGGTGTCGCCCTCTCTGCCGCTGCCGGCGTCTACGCGTGAAATGCGGGACGGAAAGGGCGTAATGGGGATTAGGGTTAGTGTTTTTTTTCCACATGCTATTTTTGTTCGAGGTTGCGCGAACATGGATTGTCGATCAGCATCCAATGACCAAGATTGCGTCCGATGAAGATGGGCCTGCGAGATGTGATGGTTCCTTACTTTATTTTCTTGGCTATTTAATGTGGGTCTTTTTTATTATTTTCAATGGCCAAATGTTAAGCTAAGTTTAAGTTTATTATTTTCGGTGCATCTTATTATTATTTAGAGAATCATAGCACTGCCTTATGTATGATGTTTATTTTGCCCACATAATGGTTATTTGTGCTGCTTATGATTACTTTTCTAGTCAGGTGGAACCAACAGAGAAATCATAAGATTTCATTGTGGCTTATGTATATATATTTGACCAATGTTAACTTATATGCATATGTTCACAAAATCATGTTTAGTTTCTTTTTCGTTTATGCCCAACAGTTATGCGGATTAGAAATGTCATTAACTTATTTTGACCAGACCAGCGTATGATTTAGTTAATGCATGATGTAATATTTACATATCTTGCTAATGTTAATTTAATTTATTTTGAGTCAGTGCTATGTTCTTCACAAGTTTTGGATATGATTAAAGAGATTTCTCTCCTTGTCTGGACCAACTTTCTATTTTAGAAAGAGAAAATTCAGTTGACTCTTTTATTTTTGAACTGTGGTCATGCCATACATGAACATTCTCCTACTCTCCCAACAACACAACAGTAGGAGCGTGCTCACATATGACATGATCACAGTTGAAAATTAAGAGAGCCAACTGAATTTTCTCTTTCCATAATGGGAAGTTGGTCCAGTCGAGCAGAGGAATCTCTTTGATCCTGTCCATAACCTCTGAAGGACATAACACTAACTCAAAGTAAATTAGAATAACATTAGTAAGGGTATGTAAATATTATGTCGTGCATAAATTAAAATCCTACGCTGGTCTGATTAAAACTTGCTAATGGCGTTTCTAATTTGCTTCACTGTTAGGTAGAACCAAAAAATAAACTCAAACATAATCTTGTGAACATATGCATATAAATTAACTTTGGTCAAAGATACATACATAAGCCAACAACAAAGTCTTTAATTATAATTTTCCATTGCTTCCATTCTAACTAGAAAAATAATTATAACTTAGCAGTGAAAATAATCATTATATGGGAAAAATAAACATTATACGTAAGACATCATAAAACAGTGCCATCATTCTCTAAACAATAATGAGATGCATTAATTAAATATATAATGAGCTTAGAACATAGCTCAAAATTTGGCCCATGAAAGAAATAAAGGACCCACGTTGAAATAGCCTAGAAATTATATTAAGAAACAATCATAATTTTCTTAAGCAAATAATCAATCATTAGTGCCCATTAAAAGTATAATTATGCCCTGCATAATTTCTAATGGGCCAAAATTATCCCAAAATAATAAAGTTATGGCACAACTTAGCTCATTAAACATTATGACTTATTTAAATAGTGCTGCTAAAAACATTAAACAGTAAGTAATGCACTGAAAATAAGGGAGCCTAGAAACTTGATGAATTTGGCCCATACTGTTTTGCCCATATGCTCAAAATATACGGGAAAACAATAAAACCCTAACGGGCTGAGCAATGAGTTCGAGCCAGGCTGCATTCGTCCTAGTCCATCACGGTCCCACGCGCTCCCTCATCATAGGCTTGAAGCCCAAGGTCCAGACCGCATTCGTCCTGGTCCATCATGGTCCCCCATGCTTCCTCATGGGCTTGAAGCCCAAGGTCCTAGGCCTGGGCCACCAATTTGCGCAAGCCACCGGCCCATGGGCCCATCTTATGCATACGAGTATTAAGTTAATATATCATGGATCCTCTTAGACTTACCATCCAAAATATTATATGATTATATGTTGTGCATGTAGATTTAAATGGAGATCCTTTGATTCTGGGTGTGAGGGTCATAAGATAACCAACTCCCATTACGATTATGTGACATTCTATTGAGATGGGTTGGTATGGGTATTGTTGTTGTAGTGGGGTCCTCTTGACTGTTAGAACAAATTATCTCTATGTACTATTTTTACTTGGCGTCGACTATGATGTTAGCTTTTCGAGCATAGAGAAGAATTTGGAATAAGTGATCCTAGGCCAGGTTTTGGGATGGGCCAACTCCTAGACCGGTTCCTCTGGCCGAGTCAAGGGGAGTACGTGACTCTGGTGCGTGCCGCGACCGGGGCGACACCCAAATCGACCAAGGGTTTTGGCCCCCGGTCACATAACACCAATAAGAGGACCAGACTCCCGCTCAAGAAACCAACATTCCGAGGATTAGCCAACCGTACGTATCCATCTCCTCCTAAGATCCAATCATCAAGGTGCCAGAGTGACGGGAAGGTGGTGCGATTATCAAGGTGCTGGAGTGACGAACAGGCCACCGCCGTCACGCCACCATCACTTCTTCCTCACCGACAATTAGGAGTCATCGACATCTTCCCAGTGTCTTTCGACGCGTCCAGACGAGGAGGGCAGCACCACGGCCTCTGCTACTACGACCATGGCGGCGGACTACCTTACAAGTATGGTTAGTCTGTTAATCCACTAATATGTTCACGTGAACTAGATTAGATCATGGGTTAAACTCCTAATTCTCTAATAGCATGTTTTCCCAAATACTTGCCTTTCAATATTGAATGTTATATTTTCGCCTATATGTGCCCTTGAGTTAGTTTGGGTCTATGTTAGAGCAACTCCAACAGTTTGGCTAAAATTATTAGTCAAATTTCATAGTTTAGCCATTTTGTAAAATAGAAAACTCCTCAAAAAAGAAGAGGTCTGCAACAACCTTACTTTTTCTCATCTTCAGATAGCTAGCGTCAATGGTTGGCATTATATGGCCACCTAAAATTAAGGGATAGCCAGCTTTTTATTTTACAGAGCCAGATAGCACATCTGTTGGAGCTAACTTTTTGCTATACAAATTCTAAAATAGCCTCCAAAACAAAAATAGCCGAGCTGTTGGAGTTGCTCTTAAGCTGGTGGAAATTACAAACGGGATGTGTATTTTTTTTCCCGTGAATTTTCTCAAGATTAGTATTGTATATGTAGTTATGCTCAACGAAATGAATTGTATTTTAGCAATAGGAAGAGGAGCGTTTCCCTCATCAGAAAAAACAAAAATTTGGAACCGAACTCACCGCAGGCCGTCGAGTACACGCCGTCAGAGCAGTAGCACTGGAACCCATCGTCGCTGACAAATGTCCGGCACTGGCCGTGTCCGTGTTCGACGGGGCAAGCGTCGCACTGGGAGAAGTCCTCGTTGAGGTAATTAAGCAAAAACCCTCCCTCCATGAGCCGCTGATAATCTGCCCCCGTCGCCCCCTCGTATGCCAGCACCGGTATCATCGCAACGGTGCAGTTTCCCGGCAGCACCATCGAGCTGTCGTCAGGCCTGTACTGCCCAGAAAGCCAGGCGAACGAGCCATTGTCACAGCTCAGGGGCGCCCAAGAACTTGGCAGCTGCGGTGCCCGCAGGTTGCAGCCGTACAAGAAAAACAGTTCCATGTCGCTCTGGGAGTCAATATAGAACGGCCTGAGGACGGAGGAGGCGTTGACGAAGTTGCCGACGTTGCAAGTGCCATCCAACGACAGGTTGGCGTTGGTGACTCTGAGGAAATTGTTGGTGTAGAAGATGGCCTGGATCTGGTACGTCCAGACCGAGTTCTTGAGGTACGCCTTGGCCTTGTCACATGTAACCTGGAAGCCTTGGTGGCCGCACTTCGGCGGATGCGTGCCTGCGAGCCAGAACGGGTAGGAAATGGCCAAGTCCCCGCACCACGCCGGCGTGCATGGCGCCGCCGTGGTCGGAGCGCCTGTAGTGGCGGTGGAGCTGGTTCGGGGAAAGGGCAGTAGCAGGGCCAAGCACAGAGCGGTAGCTTCTCGAGCAGCAGATCGGTGTATCATTGCAACGCTATGGCCTATGGCTATGGGTAAGGAGAGTAGTATCGCAGCAGCTGCACGATGGTCACTGAGGTACTACACTCCTAGGCAAGAAGATGCAGGAAGTTAGTAGTAGGTGAGGCCGAGAGAGTGCAAAATAATAGTCGAAACGAGGTCAGCTATTGCGGGCGCAAGAGTAGTACTGGTCAAATATGAACATCAGATTTCAGATGGGGTATTCCCGCACAGTCGTATCAGTAGCTGTCCTTGTTCATACATGGCTGCGCATCGGAAGGATTTGGTTTTCCAGTTCCAGGTCCCTGAACGGTAAGTAGGTCAATTTTGTGTCAATTACTGCCCAACACCACTCCAACCTGATTGAAAAATCTAGGTAATGAGTTGACCCAAAAAAAGAAACTGGTTTTTATGGGTTACCCAAAAAACATGAAAACGATTAAATTGTTGTACATGTTTACTCTACTGTCGAGCACTACTGATAATAAAAAATAATGTAGAGGAGGCTGTAAGTTGACTCGGGATGAATCAAAGTTGATCTCTAGATTGTGTACACCAAACAGATCCTGAAAGACTGAACTGAAAATTCAGACAGAAGAACCCACTCTGCAATTCTGTTTGCAAGATAATTGAAGTGACATTTTCAGTAAAGTGCCAAATACATGTTGATAAACTACACTGCCATCTCTAAGGTTAATTCGCAAGCATGAAATGGTTTCACATGACTACATGAGATCCCAGTACATAGGACGAGGGCAGTCCTTGATGCAAACTTCCGTCCTGAACAGTCAAGAAATTGCATATATGCATAGAAGATAAGTCACAGAGTATTCATCATCATCATTTTCCTATGGGTAAAGTACATTTTTCGACCTCCAACTCGTATTAAAGTTCGATTTTTCAACCTTCAACTATGAAACTTGGTAACAGACACGCCACAACTGTCAAAACCGGATAAATTTGGTCTTCGACCTATTTCAAAAGTGGTTTTCTATTTTCTAATCTATATCTATACCTAATAATAAAGAAGCAAAATTTTCAGCTATTTTTTTCGTCCATCTCCCCTTAACTACCGGACAATAGAGGGTTTCTTCCGTCCAGACTTATTTATATAATCGGTGCTCATACGAGTTAGAATAGCTCTTGTCTAGTGTGATATAGAATCCGACTTCAAAACACAATGGATTGTGTATGTGACTCGGGCTCATAGCTTAATCCGACTTCTAAACTATTTATATATATATATATATATATATATATATATATATATATATATATATATATATATATATATATATATATTGACCATGTACAAGAGACCAAAACATGATTTTCAGTGTTGGAAACCGCACCAATTAGAGAGTCCAAATAGAACACGGCAGTTCCTTGTATCTTTCGTACTTTGTGTGTATGTCCGGCCCAAGCTTGCCTCCCTTGCTTGCACATGTACGGTCACGCACTATTGTATTCTTTTTGGTGCCTTGTTTGTTGGTAATTCTAATAATCCTAATTCGATAAAGACTCGATTCTATGGTGCACTATATAATGAAATTAAATATACTCCCCAAAGCACAAATGTTTCCTCCCTTTGATTTGATTTGAAGTTCTTACTATTCGCTCTCCACAACCAGGTTGTGACTACCGGCTGCGAATCCAAGTGTAAACATGACGCCACTGTCGTCCGGTGTCCTCGTGAAGCTCCTGGACGGCATGAAGACTGGTGTCGCCAAGCCCGTGGGCGAGTACCAGACAGCGGTGCTGCAGGTGACAAACATCGTTCCAGCACAGCTGGGTGAGAAGGACCTGTTGCCCACGCACGACAAGTTCTACATCAGGGTCTCCGACTCCTCTCACATCATGTACATCATGCGCCCGCTTGCGCGGGCCGATCACGTGCTCTCCAACAAGCTCCAACTCGGCCAGTACGTGTTTATAACTGTTATTTTCTGGTCTTGGCTGCTTTGTCGACGCGTAGCTCTGTTGTGTAGCCATGCTTATACTGTCCATACCATAACAAATTGTAATCCCATTGCAACGCACGGACATATTTGCTATCCGGTTTGATCTCTAGAAGTTTGTAATTAATTTATTTTAAATTATAAAAATATGAAACTAGATCATGTTTTCTTCTAAAAATGTTATATATATATTGTTGATGCTATATTTAAAATTGTTTCGATCTTACTTGTTTTAAATAAATAACAAGCGTGACAACGAGCAATAAAGCAATAGGAACATAAATAAATCAATTCCAAATACCTATATAAAGACCATAAACAAATAGAGAACATTTTTAGAAAAAGATACAAGTTTTATCTAAAATAAATGCCGACTGGATAGCAATGCTATTGTATATGTTAATACAGGGCTTTGCGTTCGCGGCCCGCCTCTCGAGTTGTTTTGGCCAAAAGCAAGGCTTGGCACTCGGTGCACACGGAGACGAAGGTAGGGAAGTGTCATGTAAAAGAGCAGAAAGTGAACATTTTAATTCCGTGCGAAATTTAATTCTAAATGAAATTTAATTCTGTGCAAAATTTAAAATAATTTTAAATATAGCATCAACATATATATATATATATATATATATATATATATATCCACCTTTTCTAAATGTGACGCAACAAATTGTTTTACAACCTTTTAACGGTATTTTATGTGTTATAAATTCGAAGATAAATTCGAAGGTATAGATTGTACTTCAAATTAGTGGCGGAGCCACCAGCAACCTGGCCACCCAGGGCAGCTTCCCATGCTCGTCATTGGTAGGCCAAGGTGCATCTAGGCGGCAAGCCCTACAGATTAGCAGCGAGGACGTGAAGTCCTCCTTAGGATTGCCCAAGCTTTACAAACTTGTTTGGCTCTGCCACTGCTTCAAATCATTTGCTTTTAAGTTGGATTGTGGAAGATAGTTGAAAGGGAGGTCTCTCCTGAGTCTCCGCGGAACAATCCAAGTTAAGATGAAAAATGAGGCGGCACCGAGGGATACGAAAGCAATGGTTTCGGGGGCATTTCCAATTCATCTAGGTTCTTCTCCAACATTTCTATAACCCTGCTCATGGATGGACGATTTTCTGGAGTCGTTTGTATGCACCACAAGCCAACAAGGGTCATCTGTTTTCCAATCTCTTCTGTCTTGCATGACTTCAAGACTTTGTAAATCTTTAACCAAACGGTCATGAACCCAGTTTGGAAAATATTGTTGACTAGAATTCTCAGTGTCTTCTGTAAGATTCTTCCTTCCTCCTACCATTTCTAACAACATCATTCCGTAGCTGTATACGTCTGACTTGGTGGACACAACTCCATAACCCCTTGAAAATACTTCTGGAGCAATAAAACCGATGGTACCTCTTGCTTCAGCCATTGAGATGGCACTATCCTTAAGTTGACACAGTTTTGCCAATCCAAAACCTGCTATTTTGGGACAAAAGTCTTCATCTAGAAGTATGTTATTTGGCTTGATATCAAAATGGATGATACGTGTATTACAGCCCCGACGCAAATATTCCAAGCCTCGCACAATTCCTGTTGCTATTTCTCGCAACTTTTCCCATCCAATGGCCCTTTTTGTTTCTTCTGATTGTATATACTTCTCCAATGAACCATTAGCCATGTATTCGAAAATAAGTGCCCTCTTAGGTCCATGTAAACAAAAACCAAGTAAATTGACAATATTTACATGAGATGTCCTACGGATACTCACAACCTCATTCACGAACTCCTCTCCATTTCCTTTTGATCCTTTCAGTAGTTTCACAGCAACCTTCCGGCCATCTTCTAAATGCCCCTTAAATACCGTGCCATAGCCGCCTTCTCCTAACTTATCTTTGAAAGATCCGGTTATCTTCTTTACCTCTTGAGTATTTGTACCTTTTTGGGACGAGAGAATCATATCCTTTTAGTATTTCCTCTATATTTGATTCATAGCTTCTGTACTTTTGGTTGGATGTAATGTGCTTTTCATTTCTCTTCTGGCGGTACATTATCCAAACAAGGGACGTAAGAATCAAGCTGGCTGTAGAGGACAAGGCAACTGAAACAGGATATATCATGTTATATATTACACACCAATTTGTATTGGCAAAACGCAAGTGCTTGTTTTATCAACATTACAAAGATAAGATGCACCACACACTCTTATGTTCGGTTATCTTATTTGTTAATGGCATCAATACTGATCTCTTTGTTCAGGAATAATAAGTGTATTTTGATCAGGGAAAAATCAACTCATTAGATTTTGACCCTTAGTTTCTCTTACTATATATTATCATTTGTTAAAGAAACAATAGAATTTCCGAGGCATTTTAAACACAAATATGTTGATACAAGTTTTATATCATAGACTTGACAAACTGTTGGTCAAAGTTTATAAATTTGACTTTGCCCTGTACAAACTACATTTATCGTTCTGGGACGGAGAAAGTAAACACTAATCAAGAAATATATATGGAAATGGAATAGTGCTGTAGCAAAAAGCAACGCAGGAGTGATAGCATATATGCATCAGCTAACCGAATAGCAGGCTGCTCAAATAAATTGATCTGTTAAAAAACATACCTATTAAGATTAACTTAAAGTTCTGTTTCTTCTTTGGATCTGCTAAAAAAATTAAAAAATTGTGTCAAACCATCGAAGGACATAAAAACATTTGAAAAGAGTTTTTTTAGGAAAAAGGCTAAGTTAATTATTTTTATTATGTTGAGGAAATGTAATGTTAACAAGAGTTGCAACAGTGATAAACTGATAACATAAAAAACATGTTCTTTTTTCATTCAACGTCGACTGCTATTTGAGATAATCTCTTGGAATTCATATTTTATTCCTCATAATTTTATATTTAATAGGTACTTTGGTGTCTTAAATCTCACCGGATAATACCATTAAAATACTATTGTCTTTGCTTAAAATTGTTGCTGCTCAAATGGTTCTCTTAACTAATGCTATATCATTTCTGTGGCATCCGGTTGTAAGAACAAAACCAGATATACACCATATGTGAGTATAGAAAGTCAAATCTCACATACAGCTATAAATAAGGATAATATCGAAAGACAATGCTCAATATATAATGTACTTGATATAAAGAATATAACCTTAGATAACAAACAGCGGAAAGACAACTCCGATCTTTGGGTGAAGACAACTGACTAGTTGATCACAAGCCTAATTCCTCCAAACTCTAGCAATCTGGTAACCATCCGGGATTTTTCCAAAGATTTAAAAAGTAAAGCAAGCGTAAGCACATGTCGTACTCTACAAATATAACATGGGGTTCATGAGGCTCAAAAGGCTGACACTAATTTAACTACGATTAGCTTTTATTGAGTCATGATTTTAGCAATAGGGTGGCAACAAAGTTATCATAAGCCCATAAACACATGATCAGGTAAACATGAATAATGAATAGCATAAACAGTAATCATTAGTGAGCATCTTTATCATCAGTGTCATCAGTGTTCATCATCTATTCCGTAAATGTTCCAAGGCTGCTCGTGACCGTGAGCACGGCTGATATACTAGTTTTACACTCTACAGAGGTTGTACACTTTCACTGTGAGTCGTGATTTACCCTTTCGTCCGAGATCGCGAGCCTCTTAACCCACTACCAAGGAAGGTTGGCAGGGTTCACTATGAAGCCTTTTAAAGGTTCGTCTAACAAGTTAGGGCAATTAGATTCACTCGGCAAATGGATACACAGAAGAGTAGAGGTTGTCCTATACCCGTGTCGGTGTTTCAAATAAACACCAACGAGTAAATTTGTGTTATTACGCGTCTAGCCCGGATGGTGTGCTAAAAAGACACAAGATTTATATTGGTTCGGACATAATGTCCCTACGTACAGTTCGTGGCTGCTGCTCGTGTTATTAGCACCAAAAAGTTTATAGTAGGGGTTACAAACAGGTGAGAGAGGGACAAGTCCCAAGTCTCAGATGGAAGGATCGAATGGGGCTGAGAGCTTGGTTACTGCTCAGCTCTGTGTGATATGATGCGTGATGTGTTGAATCGATCCCCTTGGTGGGGTGCCCTGCTTTCCCTTTTATTGGCCAAGGGGGAGCAAGGATTACAGATGAGAGAAAGAAGAAAAACCATAGGCAAAAGAGGTCCTTTAAAGATGCCATGTCTTCCTTTTCTTCTATGCGAGCTCTGCTGACATGGCAGGCGATGCTAGGGATAGCCCCACGCTGGGTGCATGTCCGCTGATCCTGATAGGGCCGCGCTGGGCGTCTGTCCGCTGATGATGCCATGTCATGGTATTGTCAGCAAGTTGTCACGTCCCATCCCACCCTGGCCCTATGGGGAGTAGACGGCGCAGTGACCGCATGTCCGTTACTGTAGATGATGCGAGTTTTCTCTAGACCATAGTGGTTGTCGTGTGCTTCTATCAGGATCCATGCCTGAGGACAAATGGCGGTGCCCACAACACTATAAGACAAATGTCGGCGCCTACAACACTGTTTGGACTCTAACATGCCTGGAAGGTCTCAAAGCACCCTTATGGTCACATCCTGACGGTACTTTCCTACAGGCGTGCAGAGTATGGTCCTTGGTATTGTAGTTGACTTGAGTGCCCTACCTTATCTGCGTGCATAGTTATGAAGGAGCAGCACACAGACGTCGGGCGAGGCGGAGCCAGCCCTCGGACGTCGGGTGAGGCGGAGCCAGCCCCCAGACATCGAGCGAGGCAGAGCCAGCCCTCAGACGTCGGGCGAGGCGGAGCCAGCCCTAAGGGGTCGGGAAGACTGAGTCTGCCCTCAGACATCGGGCGAAGCGGAGCCAGCCCTCGAACGTCGAGCGAGGCGGACTTCGGAGGGTTTTTCGAAAGAGAGGATTCTGAGAGCCCTGGCCCTCTATTGTTGCCAACGGCGTGCCCTGAAGATGGTGATTTCTTCTTCGCCAAGGTCGAACCCTTCATGGGTATGGTCGTGAGATTTGGTGGTTGTTTAGCTAGATAGCTTGATTGGAGTCCCGGTATCCCGTTCGTGGAGATCCGGTTAGGGAAAGCCTGACTGAGACTTAATTGTGGGCCGAGATGCCCGTAGCGCTCGTGCGCCTAGGCGCTGGCCGCTTGCTGGGCCTAGCCCTTTCCACCCTTTGTTGTAGGGGTGTTTGGAGCCCCTATTGGATCTGTTGATGGGCCAACCATCGGACTCCTAGGCCCAGACGGGCTGTAGATGCGCTTTTGATCCATATTCCTTTTACTCGTAACGAGTCCCGGTTCGCCCAGGGAGGCAAAACGTCCGACGAGTTTCCCGAAGGAAAGGATAGGGATTGCGTGCGCGTATCCCATGGCGTGATGTTGTGGTAGATCATGGGAGGCACGAAGATCTAGGCGGACGGTTGGTTTCCTCACATCCGTCGCCCCTATAAAACCAAAGGGTTCGCCCCCAGGGTTTCATACTTTGCCTCCTTGCCTTCACATCTGCAACCTCCGCCGCTAATCGCCCAAGTTCTCCGCATCCGTGTCTTAGACGCTGTCGAGTTCGCATCCACCCACCCCATCTTTCAATGGAGCCGTGGTGCCGTTCTGATGTCACCCTCCAGCGCATGGAAGGCCTTGTTCACCACGGCCTTCTCTGCGCGCAGACCGCCGCCGAGGAGTGGCGGCTGCCCGGCGAGGAGGACATACCATCGCCGCCCGACGGCTACATCGTCTCCTTCGTGCATTTCCATGAGCGGGGGTTTGCGACCCCTGCTCACAAATTTCTCCAGGGGTTGCTGCACTACTACCAAATCGAGTTGCAGCACCTCAATCCAAATAGAATCCAGCACATGGCTTCATTCATCGCCCTGTGTGAGGGATTCCTGGGGATTAGTCCCCACTTTGATCTATGGCGGTACGTCTTTGCCATCACCCTTCAGAAGAAACGGGAGAAGAAGCAGGAGCTGAGCACGCCGTTGGGATGCGCCGGCATCCAACTCTGGAACAACCGGGTCGACGAATACCTACCAATGCATTTGTCAACCTCCAACAAGGGGTGGCATTTGCATTGGTTCTATCTTAAGAACGACGCAGCCGCCCTCCTAC